CTACTTGGTCAGTTGCAGTAAGCCAGATGGTAAAGTAACCCATCACTATTGACAGAATAGTAATCATTCTCTGCAGGCACTGTGACTCACTTTTATCAATATTAAATGCTATACTTAAGGTTGAACTGTACACCTACCTGATCTTTAGTCTGTCGTTTTCTGCATAAAGCCGCAGAGACTGCTCTCTCTCTTGGAAAAGGTAGACCTGCATGTCACTCAGGGCACTCTGAAGCTCTGCAGTCTCTCCTTCGCGCTGTCGTATTTCCCACTGTAGCTTATGCTTTCAGGGCATTATGAAGGGAGGCAAGATTAGTCAGGCAAAGATTCTTTGGCACAAGTGGCTTAACATCAAAGCCTCTCACATTGACTCCCATCTCTCACCTGATCTTCAGTGAGGCTTTTATACTTTTCCAGCATCTGCAGCAGCTCCAAGTGCTCGCTATCAAACTGGGCAATCTTCTGTCTGTAGAACTCCAGAAGCTCTCTGGATGGACGCAGTTGCGCCAGACGCTCGTGAATAGGGGGGAGTGGCGAGTCAAGCTCCTGACCCGGGGTACGAATATTAGTCCTGTTGGGTGAAAAACAGAAAAAGAAAATAAAGAACATGAAGCATTTTTGAAGAAGATGATACTGGGATACAATTTACATTTGGGCATTGAAGACTCACACTTTGGTTGTAACTGTAACAGCTACAATATCACAGCACTTTACCAATGACATATAAACTGCGTAAAGGATTACCCAGGAATTTAAACCCATTTAGGTAATAACGCTTAATCCATGTGGGATGAGTCTGTAACAGTAGGGGAACCAGACTGTCACAATAAATCCAAGTATCATTTAGGGAGATTAAAGTAAAAAGCATTACTCTGGCTCACTCTGTGCTATGGCAACAAAAGTCCAGCATTCAGCGTGTCAAATATATGTTCTTTACCTGTGCGGTGTTGCATGTTTCTTTGGGGACCCCATCCTGTTGCAGACACTGTAAACAAAATGGAAAATACATATACAGATGCTTAAAAGGTTTACATGAATAATCAGTTGTTTTTAAATAATGAGCACTTAAAACAGTTTTGTGGTCTTAATATTCACATACTTTAAGAGTCCAATTATGTAAAGAGCTTAAACGGAGTCAGCAGAACAGATATAATTATACAAATAGTGAAATACAGCATTAGAAAAAAATAAACACATCTTGTATTAGGAATTGGTGGACAAGCAAAAATATTACCCTTTGCAGTATTTCTAATTATTATGACACGTTACATAACCGGTGAATACGTCAACTAAAAGAACTTCTAGAGTGGCATTTTTGCAATAATAGTGAAGAGGTAACACTATCTGGATTGCAGAGCTAACAGGGTAATTTATACCAGTCGTGTATCTCGGTTGCCACAGACTGGGCGGTAGGGGGAGCGGGAGTTTTAAAACCAGTCCGCTATTCTTGCCGAGGGATAATTTAACGCTTTAAACCCATATTAAACGGCCACGTCAATGATTAAGTTGGGCATAAAGAACTTGTACTTCACATAAAAAATAATCTATAAAAAATAGCATGTCGTAGCAAAATGAGTAGGTATGTTTTATTTTTCATGGTGATGAATTCATGAGAAATAAGAAATGTCATATTATATAGCGCACCAATATAGCTGTCGTACGTTTTTCCAGGTTTTCTTTTCGCTTAAATACTTCTGAATTTTACTCACCCGTTACAACTTTAAACAGTGTAGCAGCACCGCGGTGTTGTTCTTTTGAAACCAGGAAGTTACCGCCCCTTTTTCTTCTTCGTAGGAAACTCAGCCGTAACAGACGTTATTTTGCCACCTAGGGACCGTAGAGACAACAAACTAAAAAATATATATAAAAATATATTTTATTATCATGAATATATTTATAAAAAACATATGATGACGTGTGTTTTGTTGAATTCATTTATTTATTTAATCATTTATTTATTTGTTTAATTATCAACAAATTAATCAGACTTAGCAAGAAGTCCAAGCGACACAGTCAACCCTTCAAAATAAAGGTCTTAATTATAAATTTGAGCTTGATATAAAGCGTACAGCAATTATATTTTGTGGATACGATGTTTTTAAATATGAAAAGTGACTATATTTACAACAAAGACCCCTTTAATTTTGACGAATAAGCATATCACTATAACATTTTTAACCGGAAGCTCCGATTGCAGTCCTACTACCTTGACGTATTGACCTCCGGCCGCTTCCCGTCAAACTTGACCAACGCTGAGATCTCACGTCGGACCGCTTTGTGGTGTTTCTCAACAATGGAGCGGAAAGTTGCTCGAGAATTTAGGCACAAGGTATGGTAAAAATAACAACTTTTTTTTTTTTTACTATTTTACATGAATTAAATGGATGTTAAATGAAGCTGGGGTTTTTTTCTACCTGGTTGTCTCTTCGCTGGCTGGCTCAGGTGTCTGCCGGTGAGATGTTGCGTAGACAGGCCTGCCCGACAAAGCGACGAATAAAAAAACAAAACAAAAACAAAAAAAACTCAACTTTTATTTTAACAGTAATTCAAACATATCATTAAGAAATAAAGTTGCTGTTTGTTTTTAATGTTGTTGTAGTAGATTTACGGTTTTTTATTTAGCTGAAACATCTGCTTCTAATCTCATTTGTTGCCCAAGTGAAACGAGTGTCGGGGGATTTTGTCTTTTTGATGACACTTAAATAATTTTAAATCATTTTTGCACAATTTTCCATACTTTAAAGCCTTAAGAGGTTGCTGTAAGACAGCTTTCCCTCTTGATTGGTACCTTATTCTTATTCAGGTAAAAGCTACACGGCAGAGGTCACTATAGTCAACAACAAGCAGTATAAAATGTTATTAGGAGTCAGGATTCATTCATGCAGCGAATCAACTTTTAAATTATACTTTGATGTGTGGGCGGTGTTGACTACTTCCCCCCCAAAAAAGTCATCAGCAGCAAAGATAACAGAGGAAGAGAACACGATATGTTCAAGGCTTTTTCGTCCCCAGAGCATGTAGGGATCACCTCACAGCCATCTGTGCTGCACGCAGGCAAGCAGAGTCCCATATTGTAGGCTCTCCACAAAGGGCGCTTTAGCATTAGATAACGTGTCAGATACGAGCAGCTAAGCGGAAGAGATGCGACAATTTACGGGTTTAATTAGAGGCTGAGGGGTGAATGAGGCACAATGGGCTTTGTTTCTGTTTGCGACACTGTCTTAATTGTTTGGTTGAGGATGTTTGTCAGTTTTATGGTCTGATTTGCCTGGAAATTGGATTATTGTGCAATTTTATTGTGTTTTTATTTGCATAAAAGTCACACATTTTTATTCTGTAGGCACTACACTGTGACAGAGACGCTCACTGTATGACAACAGTTCTGATCTTTAAACCACAAATGCTTGTCTGCCTAAAAAGTTATCTATACTTTACTGGTTTATGGTGCCAAGGTCCATGTGGCTCAGTCTGCATGAAAAGAGAAGTTTATGACCGTTCACACACCCTGTGTGGCTCAGTGGCGCTGCCTTAACTTTAACCCCAGCAGAAATGGTCCTCGGAGGGTGTGTGCTCTATGATGCCTGTTCTTTAATTTGAGGTCTGATTATTCAACATGAGGCGTGCGTGTGTGAATGTTTACCTCTTTTTGAGATGTAAGGTGACACTCCAGACCTTCCTACTGCAGCCTCTCCTCATCCCTGTGGCCATTATTTCCTCCCAGGGGTTTGATGGTTAGACATGGGCAGCCCATTACACGTTTAGCACATGGACATCCAGGCAGTTATCTGAACTTTAATGTCTTAGAAAGTGAGGCTTTCAGCTTATTATAGGAGAGATTTAGCTGGAGACAGATGGTGAAATGTGTTATATCAGCGACTGGCCCAAACGGTTCCTTAAAACTATCCTGCTGCAACTGAACCGTCATCAGGTTTGTATGACTCGGACACACACCCACCCACCCACACACACACACACAGGTGGCTCACCCCCTGTAGCTGACAGGAAAACAGGGGAGAGATACAGTGTGTTTCAGGGGGCTTAATGAAGAAGGATGGTACCAGATGCTTGTGTTTTCTTGCAGGTGGAGTTGCTGATTGAAAATGAAGCAGAAAAGGATTACCTGTATGACGTCCTCCGCATGTATCACCAGTGAGTACCATCTGTCACTGCTCAGCATGTCTACAGAGGGCGTGTTGTATTTCCTCACTGATTTTTCACACTTTATGACTAAAACATTGATGATTATGTCCTTAAATAACTTTGCACAACTATAGCCAAAAAGAGTTACAACGAAGGAACTGTAGGCATGTATGGGTCTTTGTAGTATCTGTATAGATTTAAATACAAAAAACATCATCTTGTGCTTCTGTATGTTTTCTCTAGCTTTTAACATTTTCATGAATAATATTTAGGAGCCATTAATCTTGTCCCTGACAGTTTTAATGCTCGCAGTCCTCTGGTTCAAATCCTCCTCTGGGTCATGTTTTTTGATGAAAATGTGGTCCTGGAGGACATGAGAGGGGGGAGGGATAGGTCTAGGTTTCAATTAATCTTTGTACAGAGGCACAGTCCTGTGACCTTATTGGTTAAGCCTCTGATCAGTTTCCACTGAGCTCCGACAAGCCTGGCCAGTTATCAACAAAAGCTCTTTTTATGTTCAACCTCCAAATGGAGCTAAAATGGCACATATGAATTATTCAACAGGAAGGTGACCTGGAAGAATTTCATACCATTGCATTTACTTTGCTGCGTTAATTGCTGTTCCAGTTGCTCTTTATCCTAAAATTAAAAAAATACTCAAAGGGACATTTGGATGTTTTCTTTTTTTATTGTGAGGAGAAAATGCCCGTGGCTTTAGAGAGATTGCTTTGAAAATCCTGATCAATTGCATCAGTTGGTGCAGAAGGTAAAGTACAAACGTTTTAAAAATCAGGTGACTCTGATAGAAGTGAGATTTTCATCTCCTTGTCAGTGTCAAGGGAAAAATCCCACACGGATCAGGAAAAGAGTCTGGTTCCTAAACTGACCCACCTGCACTCCAGACATCTCATGCTTTGAAAACCATTTGGCATATTATGAAACAAAAACGACTAAGCACTAGCTCTTTGAAACAATTAAATATGAGTTTAAATAATTATCTACATTTTGCACAGCATCCCAGCCTTTTTGGAAATCACTTTTTTGCAGACTTTCTCATATTGTTTGATTTTCAAGGGGAGCTTTCACCGTTTTGTAATTGCATAAATTAGCAGATGTGGTAAATCGTTGTGAAACCGCTAATTATCCTCCTCTCACTTTCCAGGTCGATGGATTTGCGAGTGCTGGTGGGAGACCTAAAGCTGGTAATTAACGAACCAAAGCGTCTCCCCTTGTTTGACGCCATCCGACCTCTCATCCCTCTCAAACACCAGGTGGAGTATGACTTGCTCACCCCCAAGAAGTCAAGGTGAGTACAACATGGTTATTTATTGCCTTTTTAGCATGCAGTTATTGACCCTGGCATGCATTCACCTTGTGTTGGCTTGTACATCTTGCTTAATATTTTCCTCTCTCACCTGATGTGTGCAGGAAGCTAAAAGAGGTGCGTTTGGATCGGACTAATCGTGATGGTCTAGGTCTGAGCGTCCGAGGAGGGCTTGAGTTCGGCTGTGGTCTTTATATATCCCAGATTATAAAAGATGGACAAGCTGATAATGTGGGCCTACAGGTACTATAATTATAATTTATGTTTGTTTCTACAGATTTTTT